TTTCTGCTGCCACAACATCCAAGACAAATACTGATAGTAACAGGATTTCTTTTTCTAAGAACTCTCCGTGTGTCCCCAGATCAACCATGATTTCACATAAATTGGTCCACTTTTCAATTAATGGACACTGTAGCAGATATGCAATTTCATTTGAAAGAAAGTATTTCATTTGGAGTATGTAACAAGACTGAACAGAATCTGCTGAAAGGTGTTTTCCAGAAAACACTCTTAATGATCCACCAGCAAGCTGTGACAGCCAGGCTGCTCAATACTACCATAGCAGAATGACCTCCCTCCTCTCTCTCTCTTAGTGACTTGGCTATTTGCTTACAAAGCCTCCTGCTTTACACAACTCTCTGAAAAGAGCTGTAATTTTCCTTACAAAAGAGCCAGATCAGGACAAAACCTGGTAATTCACTGTTTTTAAAATACCACTGCTTTGAACTCAGGCCCTTAATAAAATAAAGCCCACCAGAAACTGAAGGACTAATGCTTCTTAAAAACACAAAACTGTATATAACCTCAGCAGAGATGGCATTTTTCATTTTTACTCTGTAGTGCTACGCTGGCTGGCTATTTTAAAACAATACTGGAAAAGGGAGAAACATTCAACATAGTAATCAATGGGGTGTAAGAATATTGAAATGTTACTTCCACTGTGACATTAAGCTGAGACAGACATTGTGATCTACCTGGTACAATTAATCTTTGAAAAGAAGAAAATAACAAGAAAAATACCAAACAATAAGAACATGCTGCACAACTTGAATTGCAGCAGCAATGCTATGGCATTGTCTCACCGTATTACATACTGAATTTTGTGACATGTATTTCAGCTTCTCAAGTCAATGAAAACGCCCTAGTGATGTTTTTTCTGGAAGTTGTGCATGTGAGTCTCCTGGATACCAATACCACAGTGCCACTTCTTAAACAATGACTGATAGAGCACAGAAGTTGCTGACCAACCACCCTCCTCACACAGAGCAGGAGACACCCAGCATGGATATTCAGTACCACAGAACCACCTACACTATCACCATTTGCCTGGAGCTGGAGAGAGCATTTCGCTTAAGTATTAGGAGCACACTGCCAGTTTGAAAGCCTTTCAAAGGACAACTTTGACACTTGAAGGTTTGGCGGACTACAAGAACCCATTGTAGCAGTGTTTTCAACCAACACCTTCAACATTTGCACATGCGAGTCTAAACAAGTACTTCAAAACTCATCTTTCCATTTACGGAGAGAGTTTCACACGTGAGAACTGGCACCATGATATCACCACACATTCAACTTCCGCAAAGCGGTTCTCAGTCTCTCACAAAAATGTCAATATTACGTTTTGGACAGTATTTTAGTCTACTATGCCCATACAGAAATAAGCCTAGAGAAAAATTGTACTACAGAGAAAACCAAGAGTTCCAACCTGGAAAAAAACCAAAACAATCTACAACAATAGCAAACTTGCCAGAGATTTGAAAGTAAATCCCTAGTATCAGTTTATTGTACTAGGTAGCACCAACATTTTTCAGTTTGGCTTCATTTTTCTGTTGGAGCAAAGACAGGGACAGGAAAAGATATTGCAAAACCACAAGTCATAGATATTTCCACCACCTATCATGCAGTCAAAAGTAGCCCAAAAGGTGCTTATGGTAGTGTTTCGGGCTGTGAATGAAGCCTCTCAGTTTCACGCTGTTTTTCACCTGCCTTTTACCCATACCATGTAACAAAAATAACTTCCACTGCAAACACCTTCAGTTACACTTTACTTGTGCTTACATGTGAGCACACAGGCACTGCACCTACTTCAGCTCACAGCAGAGGGAACAGCAGCATCATAGATGCTCCCAGAGCAGAATGTGTCATAGCATAGTTGAGTTGGATGACTAAGCACACACTTAGACTTGACGTTACCAAAAATTTACTAGATTTGTTCATTTACTCAATGACTCGATCATCACTAAAATACCTTTGGTGTCAAAAAGGTAAATCAAAGGCTTTTCCTTGTGTTGGTGATTTTGTTGAAACACTGAAGCTGTGAAAGTAGGGATTTGAAAATCATCCCAGTTGAAGACAAAATGTTTTGAAAAAGAATTCAATAAAACATCTTAGGTTTCCTATTTATTATGAACTGCAGTACATATCAATGTAACTCTTGCCCTAATCAAGAACACTTTTGCAGGTCATACTTTGAGGCTACTTATGCTGTTTACAAATACATATAAAATGAATCATCACAGGTTTGAAATCGGGAGAAAGCCTCTACAGACCACTGCAACCAAAAACTTCATTAAGCATAATTCCTGAGAGGGGACAGAGGAGAGTTACCTTCGGATAACCCAAAGAATCACATCAATGTACTCTGCTGGATGACTTCAAAGGAGTCTTTTTCCATTAGGATTTCCTTTTACTCTGCAACTCAACAGAGAGACACCAGCACAGACATCACCAAAGCCGGCTGAAAGTCAGATACGTTTTCACAATACCTATTCAACTGATCTAGTCTTCCTCAAGATGAAAAGTCATGGGAAAAAAAAGGATCCTCAATGAGATTCAGGGAACAAGAATTGACACAGATCTCACAATACCCTCACTACATTTACCTGCCATCATTATATGCAAAGGTTATGACACAAGATGAAAAAAATACACCATAAAAGTATAATTTCATAAGAAGAATACATCATACTTATCTGGCTACCTGTGTTTAAACCAAATGATTCAAGATTAAAGGAAAGCTTAAATGCCGATTTTATTATTCTTTACTAATGTGTGCTAAATTTGGTATGTTGGTAATTTCATGAACAAACAGACACAGTCTATATGTACATTAATACAGGTTGTTAAGGCACTCTTCAGATTGCTGCTGTCAACAGACACCATTCACAAGGCAGGACAAAGTGCAAGCTTTAACAAATGTTGTGAAATACTTTATTTTTAAGAATCCTGTTCCTCTCTCTACAAAGAGGAAATGAATTTAACATTTCTTCTTTTTACATGAAATATGTTAACTGCACATATACTTAAGGAGGGGCACAAGAAAGTATTGCTTTTCTTGCAGAGCTTGAAAACAAAATTAAAGTTACCAGAACAGTGACTGGCCTTTGACCAGGCAAGCTTTACCTGTAAGTTTTAAGAGCTCTGTTATACTAAGTCCTCTGGAAATATTAGTGATCAGGTGGACCTGCTAGAGAACATAAGCCCATAAAGAAATACTACTCAATTTTGTCACAGTAGCACTAGCACTAGCACTAAAAATAACAAACACAAATTGACACATCAGCTGGATAGGTTGACCTGACCACTCTCAAGACTTACTTAGATTGAAGAATAGCATCTTCAAACCTGTTAGCATTGAGACCTTCCATAACAGTCATATGCATGTTTACAGGCGGGGCCGGGGGCGGGGCCAGGCCAGGCCAGGCCGGCGTGAGGGGTGTCCGTGCCGGGGCTCCCGTCCCGGGGCTCCCGTCCCGGCGCCCGGGAGATCCTCAGCGCCTTTAAACGACAGCACTAAAAATAACAAACACAAATTGACACATCAGCTGGATAGGTTGACCTGACCACTCTCAAGACTTACTTAGATTGAAGAATAGCATCTTCAAACCTGTTAGCATTGAGACCTTCCATAACAGTCATATGCATGTTTACCTGAACACAGTGTCTCACTTTAAGTTTTTCCATTACTTTCCAAGCGTGGCATATCTAAGCCATTCCATTTTTTTGGACACAGGGAATCTCTACCAAAATCTGAAGTACAGATACTCCCAAACCATCTAAGCAATTGTCTTTCCTCTCCTTGTTTTCTCCTTGCCAAAGCCAGGGAAACAACGGCCAATATCATGTTACAAGTTATGTTTGAACAAGGGCAAAAGCACAGCGACTGCACAGTTCTACACTAACACTGAACAGTATAAATAAGAGCTGCATCCATCCACCATATCCACTTACATTAAAAAAAACAACTAAAATGAAAATCGAGTTAATCTTCCTCAGAGCCAATAGAAGCAGTCGATAAGATCTCAAACCCGACCTGAAGCCAAGACTCAGGACAGAGCACAGCCAAGGCCTTGCTACCTTTGGGGGCCTCCTATTTCCAGAGCCAAGGCTCAGCAGCAGCAGCAGCATCGCGCTGCAGTCACGTCCAAGGGGCAGTGGCAGCGTTTACCTGTGAATCCATTTGCTTTTTATTAATTAATTTATTTTTGCGCAGCAAGAGCAGCATCAGTGGCCCAGCAGACAGCACAGCCCCCGCTCAGGGGACACCCGCACGGGATCCCCGGGCAGTCCGCCCGCCTCGCTCCGCAAAGGGCTCCAAAAACAAAGACCAAAGTTTTCCCTGCTCGGTGCGTGGGAGTGCGGCAGCAAAACAGGAGCCAGGATCAACACGAGCCGCCTCCCGTCACCACACCCGGGCCCACGCAGGGCAGGACAGCCCTGCTCCCGGGGCAGCCCATCTGTGTCCCCCGGCACGGCTGCAGCCCGCCCCACACGGGGAGGGGGGACACCCACAGCCCGGCGGGACGGGGGAGCGGGGGGTGCCACCCGAGCCTCCCTCACTGACCCCCGGCAGCGGGGCGGCCCTGCCCGCCCCCACATTCACCCCCCACACCTCTCCCTCGCCGCCGCCCCCCCTCACCGTGCTGCGCTGGGGGCTCGGCTCCGGCTGCGGCTGCGGCTCCGGCGGCTGCATTCCCGCCCCCCGGCTCTGCCCCGGGCCCCGCTGCGGGGGCCCCCCCGCTCCTCCTGAGGAAAGGTAGAGGGAGATGCGAGTGGCCCGGCGGGAGGGCGCGGGGAGCGGCGGCTGGAGCAGGGAGCGGGGTCCCGGGGCAGAGCGCGGCCGGGAAGCGCTTCCGGGCTCAGTGCGGGGCGCTGGGGCCGCCGGGCGGGGCGGGGCCCCGGCTGCGCCCAACGGCATCCGACATGGCGCGGCCCGCGCGCGCCGGCCCGCACGGCTCTCGCGAGACTTGGCGGAGGAAGCAGCGGCGGGGGGGCCTCAGCGCCTTTAAACGAAGCTCCCCCCTCGCCGGGGCAGGGCACAGTGCTGCGTGCTGGACCCTCGTCCTGGGCTTCCCGCTCTAGAGAAGCCTGAGCGTGGCTGGGCAGTGGCTGGAGCTGAGGTGTTACTCTCTGAGTGCTGCCAGCAGCGGTAAGGTGCGTGCACACCGCAGCCAGGCGCAGCTGGCCGGGGCACACAGTGTGTCAGGGTGACCACAGTGGGGCACACAGTGTGTCAGGGTGACCACAGTGGGTCATCTGGCCCGGCCCCTCGGTCAGGCAGGGCCATCCCTGAGCGCATGGCTCGGGGCTGTGTCCGGACGGTGCTGGAATGTCTCCAGCGAAGGGGCTCCATGCTCTCCATGGACGATCTGTTCCAGTGCGTGCTCGTACATAGCGCAGGATAACTACGAGCAGAAAAACGCTGGTGTGCTGTGCTCCTACACAAATGTCTCATGATCCAGTCCAAGTAATATTTTTTGGTCCCTCTGATTGCAGGATGGACTCTGGGCTGTTGTGATTAATATGAATTGATTGATCCAGTGTGAACTTTTAATTGACATCTGTGGAGGCTGAAATCTTTCTGTTGAGGCAGAGCCTTGCAGATGGTTTAGTGGGTGTACACTGATTTTTCATCTACACACTGATCTGTATGCCAGCATAAACTGGTTTAAAGCATCTTTTCACAAATCATAAAGACTGTTATTTGTGTTCTTCAGGGTTTGTGTGTGTGTGTGTTTAGATATTTTTCTTTGTTTAAACAGCATCTGTCTTGTGTAGATTTTTTTGTCTTTTATACTTTTTTTGTCTTTTTTACAGTTTCAGAGCCACAGAAACGCCCTTGCACTGATACCGATGAGAGCAGATGCAGAGCCCTGTAACCACCTTCTGTGTCTCTGCTAGAGGACTGGGAGTGCAGGGGGGACGTGTCTTGTATTGCCATTGCTGACTCCACGTCATCTTCCCTGTGCAGAGGCCTCGGCTCCTGGGTCAGAGGTTCTGTGAAGTTAATTAAGGAATTCCTGTATTCTAATCCCCACCTCGGAAACACGCCGAGCCTGACTAACATTTCTGGAGAGGCAAGATGCAAAACTGGAAGTAAACAGGATCTCGGTGGAACAATACATTTATCTGAAAGAGTTTGATTCTTATCCTCTGATTGGAACTATTATCAAGATGCTAAAGTGCATATTCCTCAGCAAAAATCCATAATTTCCAAATATAAGTGTCTGCTGTTAATGCCAATAAATAGATCCCATAGCTATATGTAGTCTCACTTAAAATGTAAGAAACAGCCCTTGGTACAGCTGCTGATGTTGTGCACATGACAGTCTCTGTGCCCTGGCTTCTTCAGCATTTTTTGAGTTTTTCAGCTACTGTCTTAATTCATCCTGTCATTGTTGGTCCAGATTTTTCAAATCAACATCTGAGTCACTTTGTCACTGCCCCTCTGTAAAGTCCTTGTACTACAACTCCAGTGAGTCCTGGCAAACCACTGTAGCTTCATACAAGTGGGTTTCATGGCTCCTTTTCACTTCAGAAGCAGCCGGTGCTTTGTTTTTGTTTGGAAATGATGCTTTTCCTCTGCAATTCTCTGCAACAGACTAACGGAGGACTGTAATCCACCAATTGCCTGACTTTTATCCCACTTTCAAAGCAGGAGTGTTCCAACAGAAATTGCAGACGCTCAGAATTTTTCTTCCACCCTTAGCTAGTTGTAGGCTGGAGAGCAGGATTGTGAGACTGGGAAATTAATCGGTCTTGAAACTTCACAATTAATCAGAGCACAGAAAGGGCTGTGCTCAAGAACTTAAGAAAAAATCCTTATGGGTATTAGGTGCCTGATTACCCCAGAAATCAAAGATTGTATATGTTCTAACTTTGCTGAACACATCTCTGAAAGCAGTTAATTTTATTGCTGATCCAGCTTTTCTGTCTCTTAGCCATATGACAACTACAAAAATTGATTATACTGAAAAGTAATGTTAGGAAAGCGCTTAATGCATTTTTAGCTGCTTCTAATGGGATTTAGCAGCTGGAAACAAGGAGAGCTGGCAGTGAGTAATCAGGGCTGTTCTTAGACAGCTGTGTGGGAACCAGAGTATCAGGGCTCTGAAATAAATCACCATTTTTTTTCCTGTATTTTAAAATATGCAATATATGCAAGGAAGAAGTTGGCTCTCAATACTTGCTGGCTCTCAATACTTGCAGCTCAGACAGTTAACTCAAAGTCAAATGGAATTCATTGTTAAATCCAGTTCTTTAATAACTTCTAGATGAAAATGCCCCTGGGCTCTGTGTGATTTTTTTTTTAGTATTTAATCCTTATGGAAGTTACTATTGCCCATTTTTGAAAGGGGCTCTGTGTGATTTTTTTTTTTTTTATTTAATCCTTATGGCAGTTACTACTGCCCATTTTTGAAAGGCCTCAGGTTTGGATTTGAATTCCATGCTTCATTAATTTTTAAGCAGAACAAAAATGTAGCTATTTCTGCTCCCCTTTTCTCTTTATGAGCAACAATCCAAGAGACCCATTTTCCTATTTTGGAAGAAAGCAATTTTATGCATGTTTGTGCCTAGGAGTTGCAGTCAGAAAAAGGTCTTGGCAAAATGGACCTTCCATAGGTTTTGTGTCTGAATAGTCCCTATACTCACTTAGCTCCATTTACAAATCAAAATCATAATTTTCAACGTAACACTGTAAACTGAGTCTTGAATTGCCCTGTTACACCGTGGTCGGTGTTCTGTCACTGAAATGCACTAAATAAGTTTATTTGGTGATGCCTAAAGGGGAATACAATCCCACTATGTGGGAATGGAGTGCATCCATTTGTCAGAGTTTTGGTAAAAAAAAAGTTATATTTTTTGTTCCTAAAGTACTTCAAGTATTTAACACTATCATGAAAAAAACCCAAAAAAACAGGAATGTGTGCCTAGAGTAAGAAGGTATAATTTTTTCATACTATTTTCTTTATGGAAGGAAATTACCTTGGGATAAAATCTAAGCAGTCATATATAGGTCTGTGGTAGTACATTGTGTTAGTGTCAGGTCCTGCTGACCCCTGTGGTAGTTTGTATTGAAGAAATTGCAGAATTCAGGGTCTAAGCAGGATTATTTAGGTGGAAGCCTATGGAACTGGAGCTCACAGTCAAGGATATCCTTTCTATGATAATTTTAATTCTGCCTGCTTATTCTTTAACAAGTCTTGTGCCATTGGTTTGTAAGCGTGCCTCAATTCTCTGTGTTTCATTACATTGAAAGAATATATCCTTGGCCTTTCCTCACCTTGAGGTGAATTCTATGCCCTAAAAATTTCTGGAACATAATTCATCTACTAGATTCCAAATTTAATCAAAACTGTTTGGAATTACACATAATCCTTTGTGCTTTTCCTTCTGCTAAAGCTGTTTGCAAAGCTGTTGTAAGGCTGTTTTGACTCTGCTAGATACCCTGGTTATTTTTTCATTTCAAATTGGTGTCAGCCATGTCACTGAGGTAGCATTAGAAAGTGTTTGTTTTAACAGGGTTCATGGATCAAGAAGTTGAGCTCAAAGAAGATATCTTGGAACTTTCTAGTAAACTACAGTAGTGAAACTGAGAAGTCAAAATAAACCTCTGAGAAAATGGAAAATATTCCCAAGAGCAGTCAAAAATGTTATTGCTTTATCCCAAGGTAGAATCTTTGCTGCCTTATGAAGTGGAGATCTAAATAACTGCATATTGTTAGACCCTAAGAAAGGTCACCTGACACAGTTTGGGGAACGTGCTGGAGTATGTTTAAGTGTGCATGTTTGTCCAGGAAGGGATAAAGCATTATCCCCCACTATTCCCTTTTCCCTTTTTCCCTTATTCTCCACTTCAGACATAAAACACTCTGGTCACATCCCTTTTTGTAACAGGACATTTTTAAGGTATGCCTTTTTACTCTGAAGTTCTGTGAGTGACTCCAGAAGGCAGGGACAGAATTCTGCTGCTCTTTGGGAATGATCTTCCAACGTGGAGAACAAGGCAGACGCTGGGAAGAGCTGTAGAGCTGCTCCCCCAGTATGCCACCCCCCACCTCTTTGTGGCTTGCAATCATCATTTTCATTTTGCAATTTCTGTAATTAAGTTTGCTGCTTTACAGATTAGTCTGTGACTTGGAAGAATTAGACTTTTTGAAGAACAGATTCTTCAAAAGCATGCTTTAAAACTTATAAAAATTTCAGGTGTTCCTTTGCAGAATCTCCTTAACAACTGCAGTCCTGGCATAGTTGTTGTCACTAGAGCTGTTACGTTGGTGCTGAAAGACTGATGAATTAAATCAGTCATACAAGGGATTGGGGCGTAAGTGTTTTCTCAGTGTTTGGATGGGATATGTATTGCGAGGAAAGGGAAAAGATCCTTGTGTGTATGCCTTTTATGAACATGCATTTTTGTTGTTAGGGTTCAAAAGCTTTAGTAATAATTCAGAAAGAATTTGTGATTTTTTTTTTCCTGAAGTGACATGAAGACTGTGTTTCTCTTTTGGATTATATATATAAATATGATTGATTCACTTGGGGGTGTTTTTCATCGCTATTAATTTTGGTGCCTGGTCAGATGTAGTTTCTGAATACCTAGATTTCCCCTGTGGTAGCAGAAATTTAAATGAATGATGTCATTTACTCCTTCTGTGCCAGTGCTATTGTGTGGGACTACTGTATTCTACGAAATGAGCTTCCGGTTCTGTCTTAGGTGTGGCTGTCCTTCCGCAGTGCACACAATGCCCCTGCTTTGAGGCCATTGTGCCATTTCTGTCTTGCATAGATGCACCTAGACTGGGGAGTCTGATTTGTAAAATTGCTTTTAAGGATTTTTAAATTCTTGAGAATAAAAGAAACACAATTGCAAATTACCACAATAGAAGACTTTGCATGTGTTCCTTAACTTAGGATGATTTGGTGTTTGCAGTTCCCTTAGGATGAGAGTAACATTTTCACCTCAATTCTTGTAATCAGATCTAATAGTAGCAGGGTGTTTTTTCCAGTTCCCAGATTTTTCACTGAAGTGTGACATTTGAAAAGGAGATAATGCTTTTGAGTTGTACTGACTGCTTGTCCAAACTCATCATGACATACTGTCAGTGGCCCAGCCATTGCTCAGTGCTGGCTGATCCTGTGAACAGGAACAGGGGCAGATAGCAGGTCACCACATCGCATCAGATACATCACATCACATAGTGAAAGCAGTCAGAATGATCGGGGCAGAAAAACCCAGTCTGTAGAAACAACTCATCCTTATGGGAGTGCAAGACAATTCTGCTAGAAAGCATTACTGCCTAAGGATCAAGTGCTCTTTACACTCTTTCTTGCTTTCCTACACATTTGTTGGGTAAGAGATACAAGGAGTGCTACAGCCCTGTGAGTTGTCCCAGAGGGAAGGAGCAGTGTGTTTTGACTGTGAAGTGAATACTTCTTTTTTTCTCTGTTGTTACATTCCTGGAAAGATGCACAAGTGTAATAGAAAATGATTTTCAAACCACACTCTGTAATACCACACAGAGGCAACCCTGCTGCGGGATATGAGTGAAAACCAACTACTTACATGAGGTTTGGGCAAGGTTCCTATTTATTATATAAAATACAACCGATTTCATTCTGTGAATGTTTTGATTGTATTTTATAGCCTGCTATGGAAAGTTCATTTCAGCCATGCTGAAATATTTTGGGCCAGCAGTAAGAGTGTAAGTTGTGTGGGAAACACTTTCAGGATCAGTCTATTGAGTCAGCACTTGCAGTGTCTTTACTCAGTAAATGATGGGTCATAACCACACCAAGTTTAATCCAGCTAGCATGCAGTTTTATAGTCATACAAATATAGCATTGTAGGTTCTAGTGAGGGTTCACAAACTGTGAATATACATACATACATATATACATATATACACATATACACATATATACATATATAAAATATATATATATATACATATGTGTAGGGTTTTCTGCAGGTTTGTAGAGTCAGTGATGAAGTGTGTGCTGCTAAGTTTATATTACTCCTGTTTCTAGCTAGATGAAAGTTAATGTGAGTGTGCCCACTACACCAGAACCAGCTCTTGTGGCAGGGACATCTGCAGAGAGGCTGCAGTGGTGTCATAGTACAGACTGGGTTAGTAGACAGAGATTAATGTAATTTATGACCTACATGTGTTCTTAAATAGTAATGGAGAATTTTGTCTCAAATCACTGGGCAAAGCATGTAACTTCTTGGAAAGGAAGCTTTAAGGTAGAGCCCTATAATTA